GGACGGGCGGGCTGCGTGTTAGTCTCGCCTCTGTATCCCGACTTTGGAGGGCCGAGAGGGGAACACGAGGTCAAGAAGTTGCCCACCATAGCGAAACCGTCTCGGGATCTAAAAACTACAAAAATTAGCCGGCGCTGTGTAGTGGCGGCCTTTTGTTGTTCCGTAATCTATGTATATTTGTTGTGCTGGCTGGGGTAGGGAATTTCGTTTGACCAGGAGCGGAGGTTGCGTGAGCCAAGACAGTCATTGCCTGGGCGGCAGAGCGAGAGATTCGAATCAAAAAAAAAAAAAAGAAAAGAAGAAAAAGGCGTTAGAAGTGTCAACGCTGCCATCCAGCACTTTGGGGGCGAACGGGCGTGGATCACGGAGGTCAGGAGATCGAGGCCATCTGGCTAACATGGTGATTATTACCCGTCTCTGTACTAAAATCAAAAAAAAAAGTTAGCCTGGGGCTGGTGGTGCGTGCCTGTAATCCCAGAGTGTCGGGAGGCTGCGAACAGGAAAATCGTCGAACCGGGAGGCGGAGCTTGCGTGAGGCCGAGGATTGACACCATGCACTACAGCCTGGGGCCACAGAGCGACTTCTGTCTCAAAAAAAAAAAAAAAAAAAAAGCAACCTTGGAAGCGACAGGGACTCTTCGAGACCTTGGCGAGGCGCAGTGCAGGAAGCGACTACAGAAAATAAGCTTAAACTCTCACCAGATTGAAAAACTTTGTATGCGGCCGGAGTGGGTGGCTCACGCCTGAAATCCGCAGCCTTTGAGGAGGTGAGGTGGTGGGATCAGGAGATTCAGGGATCTAGACCAGCCTGGCTACACTGGTGAAACCCCGTCTCTCTCAAAACTACAAAAATTAGCCAAAGGTGTTGGGGGCGTCTTGTTATCCCAGAGGCTGGAGGCGGAGAATCACTGAACCCGGAGGCGGACGGTTGCAAAGATGAGCCGACGATCATGACATGAACTCCCGGCCTGGTGACGTGCAAGACTCCATCTCAAAACAAAACAAAAGCTTGTGTGTGCTGTTATGTTTCTCCAGAATGGGAGAATATATTGTAAGTCCCAATATCTGATAAGTGTGTTGTTTTTATCTGTTGTTTTGTAGGAAATCTTCACATATAATATAATGACAATCAAGTGTAATCTTCAAAGGAGTATGAATTTTTTCGTGTTGTATGCAATGAGGCGCCAATAGGCCACCGAGAAGATGCTCAGCTCACGGTGGAGGCTGGTGCCTCGTGACCCGCGCTGAGAGGCCGGGAGCTCCGCAGACAGCCTGGGCAAAAAAGTGCCAGACCCGTCTCTCAAAAAATGAGAAATTAAAAATGCTCGGTTTTAGGCATTAGGGAGATGCAAATCAAACTACATAGGCCGGGCGCGGTGGCTCAAGCCTGTATCCCGCCTTTGGGGAGGCCGGAGGAGCGGGCGGATCACGGGTCAGAGTCGGACCATCCTGTGTAACACGGTGCAAACCCGTCTCTACTAAATACGAAAAAAAAAACTGCCCGGGCGTATGGCGGGCGCCTGTAGTCCCAGGCTACTCGAGGGGCTGAGGGCAGGGACATGGCGAGAACCGGCGGAGGCGGAGCTTGCGAGTGAGCCGAGATCGCGCCCACGCAATCCAGTCTGGGTGACTGGCGAAGACTCGACTCTCGAAAAA